CCCCGCCGCAGGACCTCAGCCCCTAGCCTGCCCCCGAGGCCCTCCCCACCCCACTGCTCTCTCTGAAGCCTCAGGCCCCCTCTGACCCATGCCCGGAGCCGACCGAGCGCTGGGAGCCATGGCTGCACATACCGTGTAGACACCGCCCACCGTAATTATTTCCCTTGGCTGGCCCCCGTCACTCCTGCAGTGGGAACTGAGCACAATGGGATTATCGTCCCCCTTTACAGATGAGCAAACATAGGCCCAGAGAGGGGAAGTGATTTGCCCAGGCCACACAGTAAGTCCGTGGGCTGGAGCCAGATGTCCCCCGTCCCAGGTCTCCCAGGACCAAGTAGGACCCTGAGCCAACTGCCACAGGCCACTGCCTGCCTCAGAGCCTCTTCCTGCTTCGCCCCACCTCACTCCTTCCCCTGTGGCCTGGCCCCCTCTGGCCCTTGCCAATTCACACCTCCCTGGGGAACACTCCTATTCATCCTGCAAAACCTTCCCTGAGGTCACAGGCTCTGGTCGGGCCTAAAGGCCTGAGGCCCGGTCGGGGGGTGTGGGATGGGGCAGTGACAGGAGGACAGGAGGCTGCCCAGCCCCCGTGGCCTCTCAATCTTTCAGAGCTCAGGGGAAACTCCCTGACTTGGCCTGGGAAGATGGTTGTTTGTGTATCTCAAACTTCAGTGGGCGTTCAGTCCCCTGGGGTCTCGTTAGATTTGCCAGTTCTGATGTGCACGATCTGGGTTGGGCCTGGGAGGTGGCGCTGCTGTCAGTCTGGGGACCGCCCCTCGAGGAGTGGGGACAGAGCCATGCTGGTGGAGCTGGGAGCTCCTCTGCACGGTGGTCTCTGAGACATCAGGGCCCGGATTGATGGAAGGAGCTTAAGGAGCCAGGGGGGCTATCTCTGGAGTCCATGGGGGACCCTGACTAACCTGGCCCCCCAGGCAGGAGAGGAGCAGCGCGGAAAGCCCCAGCCAGGGTGGGGCTTGGGAGTCACAGAAAGAGGCGCATCACCTGAGACCATGCAGAACCAAATTGCGTCAGGCTCTGACCAGTCCCGCAAGTGCCTGTAGTGGTAGAGGGGGTGCCCTGCCCCCACGAGGCTCCCAGGTTGATGGGGCAGGACAGAGGACAACCGCAGTTACACAAAGTGCCCGGAGAAGCTGGGCGAGGCCACGATGAACTGCAGGGGAAAGAGGAGTCAGGGCAGCCTTCCTGGAGGAGGAGGAGGCAAGGTGGAGGCAGACCCGGGGAGGTAGGGGGAGTTCACCGGCTTGGAACAAAATGGAAAAGCCACTTCAGACAGAGGAAACAGCACAAGTAAAGATCACAGGGACCCTGGAAATTGCAAGGGGCTTGCAGATGTCATGTGGCCTAAGGCTGAACCAGACTCTGGGCCCTGATGTGCAGAGCCCCTCTCAGCCCACAGGCCTCTGCCCAGCGGCGAAGCCCCCGCAGCAACTGCCGCTCTCACCTCC